CAATTACAGTGTGAACAAAGCCAGTCAATTTATGCAAAATCCCTTGGATACTCGTTGGAAGGCAGTAAAAAGAATCTTGAGATATGTTGCAGGAACAAAGAACCTTTCTCTTAAGCTGTCACCTTGTCCAAACTTTGATATTGTGGCATTTACAGATGTTGATGACAGAAGATCAACATCAGGTTATTGCACATTTGTTGGTGGAAATTTGATATCATGGAGCTCTAAGAAACAAGCAACCACATCTAGGTCTTCCACGAAAGCTGAATATAGGAGTCTAGCACAGTCTACTTGTGAAGTGTTGTGGCTGAGTTCCTTAATGCATGAGATTGGTGTTTCACATAGGAAAACAAGTGTCATCTGGGTGGATAATCTAGGAGCTATACATCTTGCTGCAAATTCAGTAGGTCATTCTAGAAGAAAGCATATAGAATTGGATTTGCATTTCATGAGAGAAAAGATAGCAAAGAATGTGATTTCTGTGCAGCATGTTCCAAGTATTGATCAAATGGCTGATATTTTCACAAAGCCTCTTACAGGTCAATTCTATTCAAGGCTTCGATCAAAATTAAGAATTTATCCTCAGCCATTGCTAGAATTGAGGGGGCATGTTAAAGGAAAAGATCAATATCCTTGCACCTTTGACCAGTCCAAGAAAACTCCACGTCAGCATGCAACCATACATTGTCAGCAAGTAAAGGCCCCATCCATGCAAGCTAAGAACGGCTCTCATGCAGCCCCACAGGATCACACTAATGGCAGTTGCATCTCATTGTCTTGTAGTGAGTACAATAGTTGTCATCTAGGGTTTAATGTAGATGATAGAGTTGTGGGCAGGTGTAGGGCTTAGATGAGCTTTAGAGTAGCATATATATTTGTAAATATTGGCCTCAGCCGTCTCAATCATTCTGTAGAAAAGAACACCATTAATGGCATGAAGAAAGCTTACTTTTGAAGTCACAGTTTTTGATATGTTATTTTCCAGCTTTTCTCATTACTAATTTTACCAAACATAGCCCAAGAGCATAAAAGAGAATAAGACTTCTAATCACGGATCGTACTATTTAAATGGATCGATGAGCCCAACGGATTGAGACGAAAATGGGTCGTTAAATGGCCCACCAATTAAAACACTTCCCAAAATGATAATCGAGCATCGATAATTAACAAATGCAGCAGTGTGAAAAACTCTTGAGGGAGAGCTTTGCCGTCCTTGTGGTTCTACCCGGCTCGATTCCGGATTAGTCGGTCCCTGTGGATCCGGAAACCAGAAGGTCCCTGTACCAAAAAAAATAGTTTTTTTTTAATGTAATTTTAATCCAGATGGGGGATTGTGATTAATTGAAATTATGAAAACAATACAATAGGGGGATTGTGATTATTTAATAACTAAATTAACTAAAATCTAAATGAAAGCAAATAAAATCTGAACAATGAAAATAAGAATAATAATTAACAAAATAAGAGAATTTTCTAGTTAATTATTCTGTCTACACCCTCGCTCAACTAGTCTAATCAATTGTGACGTCAAGTTTCACTACCTTTTGAAATTACTAGCCATATATAACGAAACGTTCTGTTACCCCAATTTTTATTTATATTATATTTAGGTGAAACACGCTATTCGAATAAACCTAACTACTGGACAGATTGGAATACGCTCTCTAGATTTAATGCAATAACAACTTTAAGATCTAGACAAATAGATTAGTCTAAGCAGTAGATTCATCTGATCGACTACTTAATTAGGTTGTGTTATTCCCGAAAATTTTCGACTATCATTTTCTACTAACGAATCACACTCAATAACAATTACGATTGCAAGTCTAATTTTAGCATTAGACATGAATAATATATTTCAGGTTTCAATGTTTGTAATCAACGAGTTTCAATTTAAACCTTATGCCGCTTTTTTTTTTTTT